GCCTCTCTTGCTAAAAATAAACAAAGAATTGAAATCAAGAGGTTTGTAAATGAACACAGTTGTGGACAACATACTAACTTGTCAGGCCGATCACGGGCATCTCACAAATTCATAGCAGACCAATTGTAACATATGTTAAAGGTTTGGCCTGAAGTCCGCCCAATTGATGTGCAAAAAGAGTTTCTCACTTAGTATGGATTGAGAATTGAATATAGTAAGATAATGTGGGAGCAAAGAAAGAGCACAAAAGGAGCTGTGTGGTGATAGTTATGAGTCTTACAATCAACTAAGACGGTAAACTTTACAGATTTGTTATTAAATATATAAAATTTTATAGTAAACGCTTATAGTACAATGTTAATTGTTGATTTACTGTGCAATATATTAACCTTATTCATTGGATGTTATGTTTTATTCATATATGTTAACTCTCACAATTGGATGTTATGTTTCACAGATAACTATTAACTTTCACCATTAGATGTTAACTTTACAAAATTATTTTATATTTCCTCCAATGTATTATATTTACCTGAAATGTGACGATATTGATGTATAGGTATGAGCAATGGTGAAGGAAATAAATCCAGGAAGCTACATTTGTATTGAACAAAATGAAGGAAGGTTTACAAGATTATTCATATGTTATGTTGCTTGCATCATTAGTTTCTTAAATGGATGTAGACCCCTATTATTTTTTGATGTGACATTTTTAAAAGACAAATACAAAGGCATGCTCCTCAGCGCCATAGCATACAATGGTGACCAATTAATATTTTCACTAGTTTATTGCATATATGATTAGAAAAATGTAGCTAATTGGATGTGGTTCCTGCAAGGTTTGTGGTCCATACTGTATGAAAGATTAAACCCGTACAATCCTCCCCACCAATTGGTAATAATTTCTGATGCCGACAAGGGGATTTGAGAAGTTGTGAAAGAATGTTATCCTGAAGCAATTCACTCAAGATGTGTTTTACACCTAGTTGAAAATTTTAGAAAAAGCTAAACGATTTGGGAATGAAGTCAAATGACACACAAGTTGTGGAAAATTTGCTTCAATCTACATGTTATAAATATACTAAAGCGGAATGGAATAATTATATGAAAGAAATTTATGAGATATCTCCAGTTGAATATGCCATTGTAATTAATTACTCTTCAGATCTGTGGGCAAATGCATTCTTCCCTGGAGTACCATCAATCATTATGACGTTTTATAGTATATGTTAATTTTCACTCATGTATGGTAATTTGCATGCGTAGATGTTAACTATCAGCGATATAGTTTAACTTACCTATGTATGTATGAAGTTTTAGTGGTATATGTTAACTTTCACTATAATTAGTTAGGTTTTATAGCTACTTGTTAATGTTTTTATATATTGTAAGGAGTATCCTTATACAAGTTATTGTTTTGATGTTTGCAGATATGGTCATGTAACGTCTAATGTCGCATAGTCCTTCAACAACTGCATACGTGAAGCTCATTTGTTACATGTACTACAAATGATGGAGCATATAAGAAAAAAATTATAGTTCGCATGAACAACAGATGCATAATAGCTGAAAAATGGAATGATTATCTTTGTCCTAAAGCTGAGCAGGTACTTAAAAAATATAGAAAAGATATGTACTTTGGATGTTAATAATCCAAAGGTGAAATATTTAAAGTGCAATCACATAGAACTACACATGTTGATTTGGAGAAGAAGACATGTACTTGCAGAGCTTGAGACATAACACGTAGTAAGCATGCTTGTGCAATCATTATTTATATGAAGAGAGATGTATACCAATATTGCGATTGATTTATGTTAGTAGAAGCGTTTAAAAAGAGCTATGACCAAGTCTTTTATCCCATCACAGATTATGAGAAGCGAAGTGTGCCAAGAGATGAAATCGAGATATTGCCACCGATTACTACTAAAAGTAAGGGAAGAAAAAAGTAGACATATAAATAACAGAACCTTTACAAACGTCCAGTGACATGTTCTTGACGCAAAGCTAAGGGTCACAATCGAGTTACTTACAACGAGTCAATTGGTGGTTAGTGTGGATTGCTTTTTAGTACAATACTTTTGGTAGAGTAATGTAGATTGTCAAGACTTTTGTAGCACATTGTGGAAGACTTTCGTAATCTGTGAGAATGTAAGACTAATTATATTGTGTATTCAAGCAATATCAGCTGTAAGAATGTAAGAATTTAAGTATAATGTATTTGTTTCAATGAAGTTGTCTATTTATTTTTCCGGGTAACTATCTCAGTATTATGTTAACTTTCAGCTTAAATTGTCAACTTTTAGGATTTTCTATTAACTTTCGCAGAAATCTGTTAACTCTAGGAGTTACCTGTTAATTATATGTGATATCAACAACAAACGTATGAGTCTTTTGGCGAGAAAAAAACTATCCAATATTATTGATTAATATGGATTGCTACGAGTAATAATACGTTTGGTAGAGCAATATAGTTTTGTATTCAATCAATTATGAATAATACTTTAGCTAGGGATAATAAGACTATTCAAATTGTGTATTCAAACAATATCAGCTGTAAGAATGTAAGACTAATTAATTAATTTTTAAAACAACTTTCTCTTCATCCTTATCTAATGGCTCTGCTTGATTCTTCTATCCCCATAATGTTTACCAACATAATGACTCAACACATGTTCTAGTGCTGATCGATCAACTACTAGAGGTCCAAATAAGACATAATGCTCAAAATTACTGCCCTTATAAGCATCCCAATGTCACTTCCTCATTCTTGGTTCAAGATTTTTCATGAATGCATAGTATGTTCCAAAACTTACTATATGCCTGATATCATCTACAGATGTATTAATTTTCTTGCATAAACAAATATTTACTCTTAGCAAATCATTCAAATTCTTAATATCCATTACACTAATTAACATCAATGGTAAATATTAACATAAAAGGTCAACACTTAATAATTTTTTGTAAAAGTTAACACTTACGGATAAAAGTTAACAATACTCCACAAAAGTTAACATCTGTTCATAAAAGTTAATTTTATGAACTTTAATATCTAATGATGAAACATGTATGTGTAAAAGTTAACATCAGTTATTTACTTTTTTCATGCAATGCTATCACTTAAACAAAAAAATTCATAGGCTATGATTATACTTCTCAATATATAATACATGTCAAATCCAATTGTAAATATTTACTTACTTTTCATAATAGTTGAAAGTGATTGTACATTGTACATGCTTCATACATGATAATATAACACAATGAACTAAATTCCAAACAATGAGTCTATATGTCATACAATAGGTCTATACTTCATACATAATAATTTCACTCGGATTAAGATAAAAAACATACAAATAAGGTCCAAACTTATATCCACTTTTATTACCAATGAATTGAATGTTTAACTTCAATAGTTATGGCCTTAGCCTAGCAACAAATAATTATTATTAACATGAATTGAAAATAGTTAACAGTTAGTGCGTTAACTTAGTAAAAGTCAAGTTTTCTTAACATGCATGGCTAATAATTGACACTTAAGGCTAAAAGTTAACAATAAATGAGAATTATTAACATACATTGCTAACAACTAACAACAAATGAGTATTTTTACATGCATTACTTCATAACGATTATACTTCATATTGTTAAGATCTTACTCCCAAATTAATAAACTCGTTCTACACTACAATAACCAGTTTTTCACCATCATTTTTTCAAAAACAGACCCCATAAATCTCAATCGCATTTCAAAACAAATAAACTGTTAACTTTCTTTCTTTTTTCCTACTCAAATGTTCAACTAACATCCAACGCCATAATTTTATAAAATACTTATAACTAAAATTAACTAAATTCAAAACCAAAAAAATTGAAGTTTATTGAGAACTTACTTCTTTTTAGAGATGAGCACATCCTCTGTCGAATATCTCCTACGTTCTCGAAATTCCCATCCCCTTTTATGCACAACAGGGCCATCGTCGCCTCGTTACTGTCCTCATCCTCAGAGGACATCAGAGAAGAAGAACCGCCAGTGGGGGATAAGGATACAGAGGTGGAGGCAGATGATTCTCATGAAGCCTCCTTCATCAACCGAGCTGAGCGAAGCTGACGATGAACCACTTCGAATTGGGTGTTGCGTCTTTCACCCTTCTCCACATTAAGGTTCTTGACCATTTTCCTCATTTTTACAGAAAATTTTGATGGAGTTTACGGACATTTGAGTGAAAACTAGGGTTCTGATTTTGGATTCTCTAGTTTACGAGGGTGAGAGAGAGAGAGAGAGAGAGAGAGAGAGAGAGAGAGAGAGAGAGAGAGAGA